CTGAGGACTGAACTCAGGACCTTATACTTGCTCGGCAAGCATAATGTGATCCATTCCTCCAGTCCACAACTAACCTTTTTTGAAGCCAGAAATATACCACCCTTTCAAGCATGTGTAGATCTATTTCCTAGCAAAAATGCTAAAAACATTAGAACTTTTCTATGTGATTTTTTTTTTCTATCTGGCAGTCTACTACAGTATATTATTCCGAGTTCCTTCTGGCATGCTACTTGCTTGAGCTGGATACTGTACACTGGATGCCCAAGACAGAGACATCCATCAGAATGGGGAAAACGTCTGGGAGACCTCTCTGATTCTCACGTAGAGAGAAGAGCGAAATTTTGCCCTCTGTGCTAGCATGAAGATGCCTTGGAAGCAAGAGCTGCTGCCATCTCTGATGGTTTCAGATCGCAGGTCCTCTATATGTGTAGATTTTTCTCTTGACCCTTTCCTTTGTTTCTTGTTGGATTTTCCTAGGAGACTCACTTTGATTTTGTTTTAGTATAATATTTCCTGCTACACTGACAGGTTTTAAAGTATGTGCTGTTTCTTGCATGAAGATTTTAGCCTTAAATTTTTTTTTTGTTAATGAGATTATAGCATTTACTGAGTATTTGACTTTAATTTTGTGGTACTGTTAGCATTGAGGGATTTCTCCGTGGCGTAGTAGTCATAATAAAGATACTGCCACAGGTAATGCCTTTGTTTTCCTGTGGCAGAAGATTTTCTGCTTCTGTTCTACAGAGCAAGTCCTACTGAAATGAAACCTCCGTAGTGATCATGTGAGGGAATTTACATGTGAGCTAGTTGATACAAGTTAAGAATTCTGTTAGGTCTCCACAATTGTCTGTGAAGCTCTTTAGCAATTCTGTGTATCCTTTACGGTAAACACCAATGTGTGTGTTTGAGGGGGTGTCCCCAAAACACTACTCTAGCAGGAATAAAACATGATTTATTTGATGTATGTACATGTAAGATAGTATGTGAGACATCCTTTGTCTATGAGAAAACAGAATGGTTATAAAGTGACGTATTATGTGGGCAGAGAGAATTACTTCTCAATCCGTTCCTAAGTAACAGAACATTCCAGACAGGAGCTGTTGTACTTATGCAATTTTCTTAAATTATAGTGGGTTCAGTGGGCTTTCAGAACAGTAGACACTATAGTAAATAAAAAGCAGGAAGTTTAGTATTCAAGATTAGTCATCAAGTTTTGACCACTAGTCAGAGATAGAATCCAACAAAAATGATTAGGCATATTTCCCAGGAGAAAATAATAAAATGCATCTAGAGTTCAGGTGAGAAGTCCATAGCAAGGCTGGGAAGGTGGCTCAGTGGTGGAGTGCTTGCCTTGCATGCATGAGGCCCTGGTTCGATTCCTCAGCACCACATAAGCAGAAAAGGCCGAAGTGGTGCTGTGGCTCACGTGTAAAGCACTAGCCTTGAGCTGAAGAGCTGAGGGACAGCGCCCAGGCCCAGAGTTCAGGCCCTTGATCGACTGAAAAGAAAAAAAGAATAAGTCCATAGCACAGTGCTTGCCACCAGAGAAAGTAGGTTCGTTCACTTAGCTTTCTGAATGAGGGATTGCCTGGTAGTGCCTAATTAAGACCTAGTCATGAGTTAAGCAGTGTGTAGATTGATTTCAAGTAAATCTGCTTTAGTAGAATGTTACTGCTCTGTGTATACATATGCTTTTGATAGTTTTGAAGTTTGTTTTTTTTAACCGAAAAGCTAACATTTAAGAATATTTTTAGTAACAGTGTAACTAAGAGCATGGTCTTGGCAAGGAAGGTTTTTCATGGTTTGAATTCAGGACTACTAAGTATGCCAGTGTCTCAGTTTTCTCATCTGTAAAATAGTGTCATAATACAGGCTGAGAATCCCTTATCTAAAATGCTTGAGGTCAGAAGTGTTGCAGGTTTCAACTTTTCTTGGATTTTGGAATACACACACACACACGTTATCTCACACAAAATTAGTTTGTGTGTCATAAAATACTTTCAGTGCACCTGCACCTTGCTATAATCAGTCACATGAGATTAAGTGTGAAATTTTCCACTCTTGGCATCTTGACACTGATCGGCATGTTTCAGATTTTGGATTTTGAGGGTACAGGTGGCCAACTCATAGTTCCTAATAAAGTTAAAGAAAATAAAGGAGCAAATACTTATAAATAATGTGTGGTATGTGGTAAGTACTATAAAAAAGGTTTTGGAACAAACTGGTTTAATAATTGAGCACTAAATTCTGAAAATACCTTTCTTCAAAATTAAGATTAATGTTCCTTTACATTTTTCTTTTATGTTTCCCACATGGTATTTTTACCTAGGTATAATTTAGTTACATTGTGTAAGCTTTTCCTAATGTAGCTCTAAATAATATCCTAAAACTGATTAATTGATCTATTAACCATACTTTTATCACTAGTCTTCCTTTGAGAACATAAACTTTTTTTTGTCAAGGTGATGTATAGAGGGGTTATAGTTACATAAGTAAGGTATATTTAGAACATAAACTTTTTTTTTTTTGGGGTCCGGACGTGGGGCCTGAACTCTGGGCCTGGGTACTGTCCCTCAGCTCTTCAGCTCAAGGTAGCACTCTACCACTTGAACCACAGCGCCACTTCCGGCTTTTTTTTCCTGCTTATGTGGTGCTGAGGAATCGAACCCAGGGCCTTAAGCATGCAAGACGAGTGCTCTACCACTGAGCCACCTTCCCAGCCCTAGAACATAAACTTATAAGTGAGAAATTACTTCATATAAATTAAAATTTAATGAAAGTATTTTAGTGATGACTAATGCTGTTTGCTGGAATTACCAAACTGAAAGCTATTCGACTACAGTGATACATACACTTAAAGGAAGAATGGTGTGATGGCATATTTGACTACTTATTGAGTATTAATAGTATATTTATACCAAAGTAGATGGACTCTAGAAAAACTGCCTTTTATTCAGGTGTTTCCTTTTTGATGTAGTAAGATCTCCTGGAGCTTGGCTCAGTGGTACACATCTGTAATCTCTGCTACTCTGAACGCAGAGAACGGAGGTAGAAGGATCATGTGAGGCCATCCCAAGCAAAAGCGCAAGACTGTCTGAAAGCAGGCAGAAAGCAAAGGAATGGAGGACAGTGCTCAAGATGGGGGCCCTAAGCCCTGAGCTCAATTCCCACTTACAAACAAATCCTCTGGAGCTTCTGGTTCAATATTTTAGCATATATACTAAATGTGCTTTCTAGAAAATCAACTTTTTTTTTTTTTTTTTTTTGTCGGTCATGGGGCTTGAACTCTGGGCCACAGCGCCACTTCCAGTTTTCTGGTGGTTTATTGGGGATAAGAATCTCATGGACTTTCCTGCCCCCCTTGGCTTTGAACTGCGATACTCAGATCTCAGCCCCCTGAGTAGCTAGGATTACAGTCGTGAGCCACCAGTGCTGGGCTAAAAAAAAAATAATCAACTTCATTTGCAAGAATCTACAGTCTGCTTTTAACAAGCATGCATATGATAGAGTTAAATCATTAAAATTGCTTGTGTTTCATGAGGCCCAGCTTTCTCCCCCAAGATTGCTAGTCAAATATTGGACCAGAGAGCGTTCATTTCCTAATGCTTATGATTTTATGAATCTTATTTTCCAAATACTTACAATTTCAAAGAACGGTTCTATTATATGAGATAGGATATACAGTAAGGAACTGAGTCTTCTGCTTACCAGAAAAAAATTAATTAGGCAAACTTTTTCAAAAACTTTTTTTTTGTCAGTTCTAGAGCTTGAACTCAAGACCTGAGTACTGTTCATGAGCTTCTTTTTACTCAAGGCTAGCACTCTACCACTTGAACCATAGCGTGCCATTTCCTGCCTTTTCTGAGTAGTTTATTGGAGATGTGAGTCTCATGGATTTTCCTGCCCGGGCTGTCTTTGAACCACGATCCTCAGATCTCAGCCTCCTGAGTAGCTAGGATTATAGGTATCTGCCACTGGCACCGGGCTTTCAAAAAGTTTTCTAACAGTAAACCTGCAATGATTATTAATGATTTTGTTCTTCCTGAACATTGATATTGGAAAATGATAAAATACCCCAAACTCTGTGTATTGTCTTCTGCATGGTGTATGCTTAAAATATTATTGCTATTATCAGTTCTTAGATTTGGCAAGTTTATTAAGGTTTCAAACAAACAGTTCTTTGTAATAATTTTTGTTATTCCAGTGCTTGAACCTAATTGGCCATTTTTTCTTACATCTTTGAATGTTAATAGCCTTTTCCATTTATCACAGTGACTTGATTTAAATGCCCCCTCCAGGTTTAGCTGTCTAGGAGGATACAGTTGTTTGGTAACAATAAGCAAGCTAGTATTGATTATTCTTAACCCAGTGACTTCTTCACCTGAGGGTAAATGGATAATTGAGACTTCTTAGCACTCGTAGCACTCATGGGTTGTTTTCATCTCCTAAGTATCCCAAACCCATCTCCTATGAGAGGATCACAGGTATTTCTTAAGGGCCACAGAGTATTGATGTGGTTGTTTTGCTGGGAGGTTGGTGGAGACCTTCAGAAACAGAAGCAGTAAGATGGCACCGTGGAGCACCAAAGTCCTCTTCATTTGAGGTTACCTCTTTTATACTGATTTAATTCTTTAAGTTTGGAATACCCACCAATAAATACATTTCTGTAAAGCAGAGGGCAGTGCCAAAACACCTTTAAATTTTATATAGCTGGGCTGGGAAGGTGGCTCAATGGTAGAGTGCTTGCCTGGCATGCATGAGGCCCTGGGTTCGATTCCTCAGCACCACAGGAGAAAAAGCTGGAAGTGGTGCTGTGGCACAGGTGGTAGGGTGCTAACCTTGAGCTGAAGAGCTGAGGGACAGTATCCAGGCCCAGAGTTCAAGCCCCATGACCCACAAAAAAATGTATATAGCTTATTAAAACTATTTAATGTATTGCTAATTTCAAATGGTATAACTTACAGATCTAATCGTGGTACATGGTGTCTAATCTATTTTAGAAACTGGATGGCTTCTACAGGGAGCCAGGCCTCTGATATAGACGAGATTTTTGGATTCTTCAGTGATGGCGAACCCCCCACCAAAAAGCCCAGGTAAACAAGAGAAAGAGAATCAGAGGAACATAAAAAAATTACCATTAGTGGGAGGTAAAGAAAAATAATGAACTTTCGCTAATGAACATTGACTTGCATTGGAAAAATTATTTTCATCTTGGATTTCATTTTGTCAAGGTAATATATGTTTTAAAAGTCTTTACTGAGCCGAGTGCCAGTGGCTCATGTCTGTAATCCTAGCTACTCAAGAGGCTGAGATGAGGATTGAGATTCAAAGCCAACTGGTGTGGGAAAGAAAGTCCATGAGACTCTTATCTCCAGTTGACTACCAAAAAGTCAGAAGCAAAGTTGTGGCTCAAAGTAGTAGAGCACTACTAGCCTTGAGGGCAAAAGCTCAGAGACTGTGCCCAGGCTCTGAGTTCAGGCTCCACAACAACAAAACAAAAAGGTTTTGCTTCAGTCAGGCATCAGTGGCTCACACCTGTAATCCTACCTATTCAGACTAATCTATCAGTGTAGTGTGTTGATGAAATCATAGCCTTAGTGATCTAATGATCTTAAAAGCCTCAACCCTGAGCATTGCTGCTTTGGGAACTAAGCCTTCCCAGCCTAGATCCAAACCACAGTAGTGCTTTGTATTAATTATATGACCTCATTTTCTCTGCTTAGTAAAGCTGAAAGATCATCTTATTGTCAGTAACCTGAAATTTCACAACGATGTGTCCTCATACAAATTTAGACACTGGAGCTCTTTGAAGCTAGCTACCAGTAATTTCACTTTGAAGAAACAGTCTTGTGTTAAATATTGGATACTTTCCGTTACAATTTTTTTCCTCTCTCTTTGTAGACTGTGTTTCAGATGTTGGACCTTCTGAATTACATCTTTAGTTTTCTTACACTTTGTTCAATTTTTTAAATCCCTTATTTTAGAATTCTTTCTCTCCTTTATTTTTAGCTTGTGGATTTTTCATTTCTGTGCGGTTCCCCCCCCCCCCAATTTTTGTTTTTATATCTGTTTTGGATTTTTTAAGACAGAATCTCACTATATAGCTCAGGTTGACCTCAAACTCTCTCTGTCCTCCTGCGTCAGCCTCCTGAGAACCACTCCTGGCTTTATATTTTTAATTTCTAAAAAGTCTTTTTGTGTGGATACAATTTCTTAAAATATATGTAAAGATACTGGGGTTTTTCCCCCCTTGTCTTCTTCCAAATTTCTCTCTACCTGCTTGTTTCTTTTTGTGTAATTCTTGGGGTAAGGAACTTTTCTTTCTCAAATGTAAACAACTGATAGTTGTTTGCTAACATTTAAGAGAAAACACTAGATGGGTAATAGGTTTTCTTCCGGGTATCAAGAATGACCAGGCTTTACAATTGAGGAACTCACTCTTGTTCCATTTTCCTCTGAAGAGGAACCCTCACATCTCCTGATGGGATTCAGATTTTCACAGACTTTTCTGCCCAGGGTAGCTCCAAACCTTGATCCTCAAATCTCAGCCTCCTGAGTATCTAGGATTACAAGCATGAGCCATCAGCACCTGGCTGCAATTCTTAATTAGGAAAAATTACAGTTCAAGCATCCATACCTATGCATAGCTAAAAACAAAAAGGCTGAGAATGTAGCTCAGTGGTAGAGTGCTTGGTTAGAATGTTTGAGGCCCTGGGTTTGATCTCCAGCATTAGGAGGAAAAAAGTAAATAGTACAATAGTTAGAAAATTATTATTTGGAAATGGAAAAGGTAATTTCTTGGGGGGAAAAAAAGCATGCTACCAGCAGAAATTAAAATGAAGGGACTCTTTTTAAACAAATGCTTTAGAAAGAATAGTGAGGAACAGAAGTACAAACTTTGCCCATGCTTTCTCATATCAGTGTTTCAGAGAGAGCTGTGTGTGTGGTGAGAAAGGGGTGTTCTCACTGTTGGATCCTATCCTTTGTTTATTTGGATATGGGAGGCCCCTCCTGGGTCTGCAGAATCTTCATGACCTTTTTTTTTTTCTCTTTTTCCTTTTTTGCCTGAAGATATCTAGAACATTGTTCCATCAGTCTCATGCTCAATTTTATGTTAGTAATGCTTAACAAAATTTGGAGTTAAAATGTTTAATTTGCTTTCTTCTCTTGTTACACATTTCTCAACAATAGGAACTTAAATTTGCATGGAGATCTTTTTTCTCTCTCTCTGGAATACAAAGCAAAGGTGGTCTTTTGAAATATTATATTGATTTGAAATATGATCTAGTTGATGGAACTAAGCTGAGCTGTAATACATTTGGACCTTTTCCTAATATGCATGGGTTTTCGTAGGTTGAGACAACTATGAAGAAAAAGTTGATTTTAAGATTTTTTTTTTTTCTTTTTAGGATTCCAGAAATAAGTTTATTACTTTGTTTTCCAGCACAAATGGTACAGCACTTTGGCCTTTGTTTTGCTTAAGCTCCATTAGAGAAGTATCAGAAGCCAGTACTTTGTCATCCTCACACCTATGAAAGTTAACAGCGGGGAAACATGTTGCCTTTGACAGCTGACTACAGCGCTAATCACACAGACTTTCCACATTCTCACACCTATAGGAGATTCCAATCCTCATATGTTTTGCTTTTTCAGGAAGCTGCTTCCAAGCTTAAAAACTAAGAAGCCCCGAGAACTTGTGCTGGTGATTGGAACAGGCATCAGTGCTGCAGTTGCACCTCAGGTTCCAGCCCTGAAATCCTGGAAGGGGTTAATTCAGGCTTTACTGGATGCTGCCATTGATTTTGATCTTCTAGAAGATGAGGAGAGCAAAAAGTTTCAGAAGTGTCTCCATGAAGATAAGAACCTTGTCCATGTTGCCCATGACCTTATTCAGAAACTCTCTCCTGTGAGTAATGCCCTGTGTCCCATGCCCTTTCAGATTTCCTAAAATCATGACTAGCATGCTGAATGTTCCTTTATAACTTACAGGTTTGTGTAACGTTTGGGTCTTCTGCAAACTATTAATGGGCCTTTTTCAGGGTAATTAATTTGACCTTATTTCTGTGTGTGTGATCAGACTTTCACATATACAAAATTAGTACCCATTTCCACTGTATTTTTGATTTTTCTGTTCATTACTGCAGAGTGTAATTCTTGGAATCTCAGAAAAATTAGAGATAATTTTTATGAAACAAAACCAGTTTTTTAATGTTCTTTCTAGAGGTAATACTCTAAAGGAATTTCATCTTGTTGTATCAAACTGAGGTGGACAAAGGACTTGAATGTCTTACTTTACCTTAAATTATTGAAAATTAGCCAGGCACTGGTGGCTTACACTTGTGATCCTAGCCACCCAGGAGACTGACATCTGAGGATCCTTTTTTTTTTTTTTGCCAGTTGTGGGGGCTGAACTCTGGGCCTGGGCGCTGTCCCTCAGCTCTTCAACTCAAGGCTAGTGCCCTACCACTTGAGCCCCAGCACCACTTCTGGCTTTTTTCTGCTTATGTGGTGCTGAGGAATCGAACCCAGGGCCTCATGCATGCGAGGCAAGCACTCTACCACTGAGCCAACCTCCCAGCCCATCTGAGGATCTTGATTCAAAGCCAGCTTAGGCAGATAAATCTCAGAGACTCTTATCTCCGGTTAACCATCAAAAAGCTAGAAGTGATCTGTGGCTCAAGTGGTTGAGTGCCAGACTTGAATGAAAAAGCTAAGGGACAGCCCCAAGTCTTACTACCGCAATAAAACAAAAACCAAAAACATAGTGGAAATCAAAATTCATTTGTGCTGGAAGAGGTAGTGGTAGTACACACTTGTATTCCCAGTACAGTTGGGAAGTAAGAAAGGAGGAAAATGAATGCTAATTTGTTAATATTAACTTGTTTTCCAATGAGCCTACTTGTGGTAAAATAACATTTTTATTAAAATAGTTATTTCTAAAACAAAATGAGTAAGAAGTAGGTGATGGTGGCTCACACCTGTAATTGTAGCTACTGAGGAGGTCCAGTCCTAGAGGCTCAAGGTTTGAGCCAGCCCAGGCAGAAAAGTCCAAGAGACTCCATCTCCAGTTAACCAACAAAATGTCAGACTGAAGGCATGGATCAAGGAACAGAGCTGTAGCTATGAGCAAGAAAGTGACTGAGAGCACATTGCCCTGAGTTCAAGCCCCAATTACTGTTGCACCAAAAAAAATGTATTTGGTGAAAGAAGTTAGAGTTTGGCTTAAAATTAAAATAACCATTTGTGAATTTTTCCTCAAGACAACCACCAAATGTGCAGCTGAAATGCTTTATGTGCATTTTTTTGTTTGTTCACACCAAATATTAAAAGGTCTTACAGTCAGGGGTCAAAGTTAATATAATTGATCATTTTTACTTCTTCATAAGACATTTAAAAAATCTTTTTATTGTCACTGAGGTTTAGACTCTAGGCCTCATGCTCATTAGGCACTCTGTCATTGAACCACACCTCCAGTTATTAAGGGTAGTCTTAAGTTCACTGGCCTTTTCTGGACTATCAAGTCTTTGGTAGTGAAGGATATAATAATGATGGCATGATTGGATGAATCAGAAAGATCCTGCCATTTAAATATACTGTAACGCTGGGCAAATCACTTAACCTTCCTTCCAACATTTGTTTTGTACCTATAGACCTGGATGGGACTGGGGAACTACAACTGTGCTAGAGCACTAATTACCTTGAAACAATGATAGAGTCCAAAGTAAATGCAAAGTAAATCTTGGGGAAAGAGATGGGAGACTTTTGTTTGCTTGTCTCTTTTTTTCTTGTATGGTATTAGAAAGATGAGCTAGCTACAGGGTGAATGAACTGAAACTGAAGGCTTGGGACTCAGAGCTGTTGGAAGTGAATGGGCAAGGTCCTCAGAAGTTGTGTGGGAGTTAGGCACTTCCTTTTGACTTCTGACCCCTCTGTTCATGTTCTCATTCCTTTGTCAGTCCTTACTGAGGCTAACTGGTGAGAAATTGGGTTCTAGGGTCACGTGCCCTAAGAAAAACACTTTCAAATCTGAGGAAATTAATGCTACTGAAAAAGCTTCATTCCTTCCTGTTTATGTTAGTAGTAGAGATTGAATGATTTATGGAAATATTAATAAAAGATAAATAGCTAAAATAAATGCTTCAGTATTTTATATCCAAATTTGTATCTCTTTTTTTGTTTTTTTGGGGTCCGGTCGTGGGGCCTGAACTCTGGGCCTGGGCGCTGTCCCTCAGCTCTTCAGCTCAAGGCTAGCACTCTACCACGTGAGCCACAGTGCCACTTCTGGCTTTTTTCTCTGCTTATGTGGTACTGAGGAACCCAGGGCCTCTGGCATGCAAGGCAAGCGCTCTACCACTGAGCCACCTTCCCAGCCCCCAAATTTGTATTTCTTTTCTTGGAAAAAAGAAAATGTATTCTACATGGCTATCTTAGTCTCCCCAGGCCTTTTTGTCTGTGTGTTAAGTACTTAGACTGACGTTGAAACAGTGTGCGTATATGAGTCAGGCACCAAATAATTATTAAACACAGGTTCTTTCTAAGAATAACAAGAAAATCATTGCATTGAATTTGAAACTTGGTTTTGCTTTTGGGGATTTTTTTAGGGGGAGAGAGGGGAGACACTCGGTGCTTTGTGCCACTAGGCAGGCACTCTACCGCTTGAGCCATATCTCCAACCCAATTTTGCTTTTTTTGGGGGGGGGGTCTGGTCGTAGGGCCTGAACTCTGGGTCTGGGTGCTGTCCCTCAGCTCTTCAGCTCAAGGCTAGCACTCTACCACTTGAGCCACAGCGCCACTTCCGGTTTTTTTCTTTTTTGCTTATGTGGTGCTGAGGAATCGAACCCAGGGCCTCATGCATGCAAGGCAAGCACTCTACCACTGAGCCACCTTCCCAGCCCTGTCCCTCAACTCTTTAGCTCAAGGTTAGCACTCTACCACTTGAGCCATGGCACCACTTTTGGCTTTTTCTGTTTGTTGTACTGAGGAATCAAACCCAGGGGCCTCGTGCGTGCAAGGCAAGCACTCTACCACTGAGCCACCTTCCCAGCCCTCCAATTTTGCTTTTTTAAAGTAAGTATTCTAAATAGATTAAGACACATTGATTTAAAAAAAAAATTAAATGCAAAGAAGTTAACTCTATTGAGGCATTGTGCTCCTACCCATGCATTTGTAGCATTTGTCAATCTCCTCTTCCCACACCTACCTGCCATAAATTATTATTTGTATGTATGTGTCAGTGTCTGTGTCTAATCCTCTTTACAAATGTAAACAGGAACACTGTATTTAATCTTCCCTTAACTGCTTCTATCTCCCAATTCAAAAAGATAGCAATCTAGATAGAACTGTTTTATATATTTTATCTAATAGCTTTATCTAACAGCAGCAGGAGGGTAAGACAGGAAAATGCATCAATAGGCCATTTGCTGTTGTAAAAATCATAGAGTGTATACAAATTAAGATGACTACATCAACACAAGATGGATGGTACAGTTGTATGGGATCACTGTAGTACATATGGTCTGTCATTGACCAAAACATACAGCACATGACTTCTTTTTTTGGTGGGGAGGGTCCGGTCGTGGGCCTGAACTCAGGGGCGCTGTCCCTCAGCTCTTCAGCTCAAGGCTAGCGCTCTACCACTTGAGCCACAGCGCCACTTCCAGCTTTTTTCTTTTTGCTTATGTGGTGCTGAGGAATCGAACCCAGAGCCTCAGGCATGCAAGGCAAGCGCTCTACCACTGAGCCACCTTCCCAGCCCAGCACATGACTTCTTTACATACATTCATAGTAAGCTAAGAAAGCAGTTATTTCACCTAAACTATATATTATAAAATAGTCTTATTTCAGGCCATATACCTGTAATCCTAGTTAATTATGAGGGCAAAATCAGGAGGATCACAATTCAAGCAAAAAAGTTTTTGAAACCCAGTCTCAATAAAAGCTAGGCATGGTGGTACATGTCTGTCATCTTAGCTATATGGAAAGTATAAATAGAAGGATGACAGTATGTGAAAAAGAGAAATACTTTATTTGATTAGTATATAATATGCTGGTAGCATATTAGTGGCAGAACCAGCACAAGACTGGGTATAATCCATAGTTCCACAAAAACTAACCAATAAACAATCGCAAAATGTAATTGTGTGTGTGTGTGTGTGTGTGTGTGTGTGTGTGTGTGTGTTTATGTTTTTACTGCTACTGGGGCTTGAATTCGAGGCCTCACACTCTTGCTTAACTTTTCACTTGAGGCTGGTTCTCTACCACTTGAGACACACACCTCCACTCCCAGCTTTCTGTTTATTATTTGGAGATGAGTCTCTCAGATCTGTCTACCCAGGCTGGCTTTAAACTGGAATCCTCAGATCTCAGAGTCCTGAGTAGCTAGCGTTACAGATATGAGCCACTGGTGCCCAGCTAAAATGTAAGTTTTAATTGTAAAATTTTTATACTTTTAGGTGTACTAAGTATTTTTCTTAGAAAACTTGTGATCAAATTGCTGAATTAGACCAGGAAAAAACAAGCAGAGAGATGTTAGTTTTCCTTTATATTATTAAAATCATCTCTAAGTAGTTATATAAAAGGATTTCAATTCAACATGTCAGTTTATCAGTACAATGCATCTTAGTGGATGTTACCCTTCCTACATGTTTTTCCTAATTCCATAAGCAGACATAAAAAACACCCAGGATTAGAAAAAGAGATGTTAAGCCACAGTTCAGTATGTCTGAGTATCACTTACCTGAGGCCTTTTACCCTCCTTTAATTCTTAGAATAAAGTCTCATCTCTTAGCTGTGCTAGTTTTCTTCTATTAAAAATGTCTACCTAAGCCATGTGCTAGTAGACTCATGGATATGATCCTAGCTACTCTAGAGGTTGAGATCTGGGGATAATGGTTCAAAGCCAGCAATGGCAGGAAAGGCTGTGAGATTCTTATCTCCCACTAATGACAAAAAAAAAAAAGAAGTGGAGCTGTGGCTCAAGTGGTAGAATGTTATCCTTGAGCCCCAAAACTCAGGGGGACAGTGCCCAGACCCTGAGTTAAAGCCCCAGGACCAGCACACAAAGTCTTCCTAGAGAGCTTATACTTATTTACCTAAGATGGAACAGTATCAATCACTTAATCTATGTAGACATTTGCTCAACATGTATCATCCCATTTTCTTTATTCCTGTAAAAGTGATAGTTTATCCTTTAAGCACAATGTATTCTTCAAATTTTTTATTACCGTATCTAAAATGGCCTGCCAAAACACCGTGGATTAACTTTTTTCTTTAAAATCCCTCCCCAGCGTACCAGTAATGTTCGTTCTACATTTTTCAAAGACTGTTTATATGAAGTATTTGATGACCTGGAGTCAAAGATGGAAGATTCTGGAAAACAGCTACTGCAGTCAGTTCTCCACTTGATGGAAAATGGGGCCCTAGTACTAACTACAAATTTTGATAATCTCTTGGAACTGTATGCAGCAGACCAGGGAAAACAGCTTGAGTCCCTTGACCTAACTGATGAGAAAAAGGTAAGAGCATAAAGCACTGTCTCCTCTTGAGCTAGTGGTTTGCATCTTCATCAGAAAAACTGCTTGTTATGTTGGTCTTCATGTAGCATAAAGCACTGTCTCCTCTTGAGCTAGTGGTTTGCATCTTCATCAGAAAAACTGCTTGTTATGTTGGCATTCATGTAGCATAAGAAAAGAGGTGGCCTTTCCTTGATTTTGTGGGTGTAGGTTTTTTTTTTTAAGATAAAATCAATGTACAGTAAAGTGCACAGATCTTAAAAGTGTGTATCTGTGAGTTTTGACAGCTTCCCCTACTTTCAAAGGGGGAATTAGGGATTAGGGGAAGTTGTTTGGAATATAAGATCTCTTTAGTACTTGAGAGTATCAAATGGTATCATGTTTTCTAGAACCTATTTTATGATGGCTAGAAAAGCAAGTTCTATACCATATGACAGTTTAAGGGTTGAGATTGGTCTTCAGTGGAAATAGCAGCAGACTTCTCTTTTTTTGTCGGTCATGGGGCTTGAACTCTGGGCTTGGGCAAGGTCCCTGTGCTCTTCAGCTCAAGGTGAGTGCTCTACCACTTGAGCCACAGCGCCACTTCCAGTAGCAGACTTTTCTAAAGGTAGTCTGTGCCATACCTAAGCCATCTACCAAAATCCTGATGTTTTTATTTGTCAGCTGTTCAAGATGAATTCTTAATTTTTATTCTTGACTTTGTTTTCAACCTGCTTTTTCTGTCCATCTTGGTACACAGCTAAATAGTCTGAGTAGATCAGTGATTCACCCATTGACATTCATTGCCATAGTCCTGCCTCTGCCAGAGTAGTACCTAAAATATCCATCTGTGGTTTTGCTGGCAAGGAAGCCAGGTTTTTTGTTTTTGTTTTTGTTTGGGGTCTGGTGGTGGGGCCTGAACTCTGGGCCTGGGCGCTGACCCTCAGCTCTTCAGCTCAAGGCTTGCGCTCTACCACTTGAGCCACAGCGCCACTTCTGGCTTTTTTTTTTCTGCTTATGTGGTGCTGAGGAATTGAACCCAGGGCCTCAACATGCAAGGCAGGTGCTCTAACACTGAGCTAGCTACCTTTCCAGCCCAGAAGCCAGGTGTTTTTGTTTTTGTTTGTTTGTTTTTTGTCAGTTGTGGGGCTTGAACTCTAGGCTTGGGCACTTTCCCAGAGCTCTTCAGCTCAAGGCTAGCGCTCTAACGCTTGAGCCACAGCGCCACTTCTAGCCTTTTCTGTTTATGTGGTGCTGAGGAATTAAACCCAGGGCCTCGTGTGTGCGAGGCAATCACTCTACTGCTGAGCCACCTTCCCAGCCCCAGAAGCCAGGTATTTTTGTGGGGTTTTTTTCAGGGGTGAGGAGGGGAGAAAGAGGGATTATATTAGTACTGGGGCTTAAGCTCAGGGCCTAGGCATTGTCCCTTAGCTTTTGTTGCTTAAGGCAAGCATTCTACTGCATGAGCCACTGCTCTACTTCCTACTTTGGGGTCATTAATTAGAGATAAGAGTCTCATGGACTTTCCTGCTTGGTGCTGGCTTTGAACCATAATCCTCAGATCTCAGCTCTGGAGTAGCTAGGATTATAGGCATGAGCCATCAGTTCCTGGCTATGGAAGCCCGGTTTTAAAGGGGAGTTCAATTTAGAGAAATGGTACCATGAAGACTTTTCAAGCTACTCCCTCATCCTCTCATAAATCTCAACTGAAGTATTGTCTCCCTGGAGAAACCCTCTGGCCATCCTCTTCAAGTTGGACTTCACTTTTTGGTCCATTCACGTATCTACTTCCTTCAAAGCACTTAGTACTAGCTGGTTTTACCTTGGATGTTCATCTGCTTGCTGACTTTTTTTTGGTCGGTCATGGGGCTTGAACTCTGGGCCTGGGCTGAAGAGCCACAGTGTTACTTCTGGCCTTTTCTGAGTAGTGTATTGGAGATAAGAGTCTCTCAATGTCAGTCTGCTTTCTTTTCTGTCTCAGACAATACTTAGGACATTGTGGATGCTCAGTAAATATTTCTTGAATTTTAATAAATGATTGCACAAAATTCAAAACTTAGTAACCATTTCTGATAAGAATCAAATCAAATCTTCATGGCATCAGAAGCTAATATAGGCCTTTCTACAGCTAAAGAAATCCTTCTCATTTCCAGAATTTGCTTTGTGTTTGTGGCCCACATTAGGAACAGTGTCCCAGTCATTTGCTAAAGCCATTGATTGGTTCTTAGACCACGGCTTAGTAGTACTCAAACTTTAATATGGAAGTGTACATCACTCAATTTTTACTTCATAGTGAAACAGGCCCTTGGCAAGAGGATGTGGCTTTCTCTGCTGACCAGCTGTCATGTAGAACTGCTCCATACTTTCTAATATGGTGATGTGATCTCCTTGTTTTCCCATCATCCCAGTACTGTCCTGCTGCCCTCTCCACATATTGTCATCACAAGATTCATCAAGGGACCAAACTTCCATACTGGTCTTTGAACAAATCTCCCACCATTTAATTTCAGTGATTTTTTTGTTTTTAGTTTTGCTCATGGGTGTGTGTGTGTGTGTGTGTGTGTGTGTGTGTGTGTGTGTGTGTGTGTGTGTGTTGGGGTTTGAACTCGAGGCCTGGGCACTGTCCCTGAGCTTCTTTGGCTCAAGGCTAGCACTCTACCACTTGAGCCACAGCACTACTTCTGCCCTTTTCTGCCCTTTTCTGAGTAGCTTATTGGACATAAGAGTCTCATGGATTTTCTTGCCCAGGCTGGCTTTGAGCCACACTCCTCAGATCTTAACCTCTTGAGTAGATAGGATTTCAGGTGTGAGCCACCAGTGCCTCCCTGGTCTCTACTTTTCTTGGCTGCTTTTTTATACTCAATGCCTTATTTCTCCAGAATGTCCTAAGCATAAATTTATACTGTCTCCCAAAGTGGAGCTGTAAAATCTAGGTGACTGTTGTAACACTGTCATCTAATGGTTGTTCCTCATTAGTAGCCTTTTAGGTTCCTCAAAGGTAACTGATGTGATTTTTTTTTCAGTCTCTTCTATTGCTGTACAAGAAAATCTTCTGAAACTTCAGAGCTTATTAAAATAACAAACATTTCTCTGGCTCTGACCCTTGAAGAAGTGAGTTAATAAGCGGAGCTCAGCAGCCCAGCTGACCAATTTCTCAGCTGTTGTGTGGCATATTCACATGGGTTAGATTGCCTGGTGGCTGGTCTGGGGCTGCTTGATAGAAAACAAGCTTCCCTGTCTAGATGCAGGAGGCAGGCTGCGCAGACAGCTTTCTAGCAGGCAAGCCTAGGCTTCTTCACATAATAGCCTGGTTCCAAAAGCAGCAAAGGGGAAAAAGAACTCACTGAACCAACACTCTTCAAGGTTCTCTTTGTGTCCTGTTTGCTAATGTCCTTTGGCTAGAGTAAGCCATGTGACTAGCCTGGAGTCACTGTGAAAAGTAAAATGGCACACAAGCCTGGAGCCATCACTGAAGCAGTCATCCAGAGCTGCTCATATTTACAATCACAGGGCCTCTGTTACTCTGATGACAAACTAATTTCTAGTTGTTACTTTCAAAGGATAAATTGTCCGAGTTGCTGCTATCACTCCTGACAGTCATACCTGAAGGGAAACTTAAGCCACAACAGGTGTGGTATTCTTATCCTTTGATGTGAACTGGAGAGTTGGCCTCAGCCTCTTGCCCATTGTGATCTAAAGTACTCACCCTGCCATCCTGTTTGAGTTGTGTGTGTGTTTGTCTTGTGCAGGTCTTGGAGTGGGCTCAGGAGAAGCGGAAGCTGAGTGTGTTACACATCCATGGTGTCTACACCAACCCTAGTGGCATTGTCCTCCATCCAGCTGGATATCAGAATGTGCTCAGGAACACTGAAGTTATGGTGAGTGGTGCTGAGCTGGCTGGGGTTGGGATTCTTTCCTGAAGGCATCTCTGAACGTATGAGAGATCTTCAAGGAGAATATTATATTTTGTTATCCAGAAACTGCAAAGTCATGGTGATACACAGCTGGAATCAAAGGCAAGAAGATCACAAGGTCAAGACCAGCCTGAGCTATGTAGTGAATTTCAGGCCAGCCTGGGCTCTTAGCCTGTGGATATGTATGCCACCCAAGGAAATGCAGAACTTTCCTGCAGGTGTCAGGCCACAGGGCTCCATTTATCCTTGAGGAATGATGAGCAGATGGTACTCCATCACTGCCACCATGTTCATAGATGAAAAGTACATTGCTACCCTTCTTCTTCTTCTTTTTTTTTTTGGTGGGTCGTGGGGCTTGAATTCTGGGCACTATCCCTCAGCTCTTCAGCTCAAGGTGAGCACTCTGCCACTTAAGCCACAGCACCACTTCTGGTTTCCTGAGTGGTTTATTGGAGATAAGAGTCCTCACAGACTTTCCTGCCTGGGCTGGCTTTGAACTGCAGTCCTCAGATCTTAGCTTTCTAAGTAGCTAGGATTAAAGGTGCAAGCCACCGACATCCATCCAAGTAACTCCCTGCCCAAAACAATTTAGGAAGCTTTTTCAAACCAGTACTACAGTGTATATGCCAAAGAGATTTCATACAAGTAGCATTGACTTACATTGAGTAACTAGACCTATTTACACTTACCTGCTCAGTGAAAATAACTGAAAAATAAATTAGCTAGGGTGATTCAGTAGAGGTTTTCTAGACCGTAGAGGCTTTTTTACCTACAGCTGGCACTCTGCCACTTGAGCCACATCTCCATTTCTGGCTTTTTGCTGACTAATTGAAAATACGTATTTTGCCAGATGCTGGTGGCTTACACCTGTATCCTACTACTCAGGAGGCTTAGATCAGAAGGAAGTGGTTCAGGGGCTGGGAAGGTGGCTCAGTGGTAGAGCACTTGCCTTGTATGCTTGAGGCTCTGGGTTCGATTCCTCAGCACCACATAAGAAAAAAGAAAAAAGCTGGAAGTGGCGCTGTGGCTCAAGTGGTAAAGCGCTAGCCTTGAGCTAAAGAGCTGAGGTACAGCGCTCAGGCCGAGTTCAGGCCCCACAACCAGATCCCAAAAAAAAAAGAAGGAAGTGGTTCGAAGCAAGCCTGTGAGACTCTTATCTCCAATAAACTACCAAAAATGTTGGAAGTGGAGCTATCAAGTAGTAGAGTGCTGACCTTGAGCAAAAGAAGCTCAGTAATATCACCCAGGCCCTAAGTTCAAACTCCAGGACTGTCATTAGGAAAAAAAAAAGTGTCTCTTGGATTTAGGTGTCTAGGATGGCTTTGAGCCTCAGTTTTCAGATTATCAGCCTCCTCAGTAGCTAGGATTATGACGTGAGTCTCTGGCATCCAACTCATCCTCCTTAGTATTACAGGCATGAGCCACCTGTGTCATGCTGTACTTGCTTAAATCTTGGTTAATTGGCTATCATATTCTACTAAATGTAGCAATTATAGACAGTTTTTGTTTCAGGAACAAAAATTTTGTCTGTCTTCAATGTCATTAATACGTTGTTTCTTTTCCTTCAAGAGAGAGATACAGAAACTTTATGAAAACAAGTCTTTTCTTTTCCTGGGTTGTGGCTGGACTGTGGATGACACCACTTTCCAGGCCCTCTTCCTGGAGGCTGTCAAGCATAAATCTGACTTAGAACATTTCATGCTGGTTCGGAGAGGAGATGTTGATGAGTTCAAGAAACTTCGAGAAAACATGCTGGATAAGGGGATTAAGGTCATCTCCTATGGAAATGACTATGCTGATCTTCCAGAATATTTCAAGCGGCTGACAAGTGAGATTTCCACAAGGGGTAGATCAGGTAAGATGTACTGAGGAGTCGGAGAACAGCAGCCCTCTGTCTTTTAGTGTAAAACCATTCCCAAATGAGGAGTGTAGCCAGGCATCCGTGGCTCGCACATGTAATCCTAGCTATGGAGGTGGCTGAGATATGAGGATCACAGTTCTAAGCCAGCCCAGCAGGAAAGTTTGTGAGACTCTTACCTCCAATTAAGCACCAAAAAAGCCAGAAGTGGAGCTATGGGTCAAGTGGTAGGATGCTAGCCTTGAAAAAAAGAAGCTCAGGGACAGCGCCCAGGGCCTGAATTCAAGACTGGTTAGGGATACCACTTCTCTCAATTATTTACCTCAAGCTTCTGACAGTGAAGAGCAAGAGTGATGTAAGGTTCATCACTAATGGTTACTGCACACTCCCAATAACCCTAAAATGCAGACGTTTTTCATACCAGCCTGATTGGGGGAACGCTTTAAAAAAAAAAACAACTCACAGTTGCCAGGCACCAGTGGCCAACACCTGTAATCCTAGCTATTCAAGAGGCTGAGATTTGATGATTGCAGATCAATGCCAGCCTGGGCAGAAAAGTCTTGTGAGACTCTTATCTCCAGTTAATAGCCAAAAATCTAGAAGTGGAGCTGGCTCAAGTGCTAGAGCCCTAGTCTTTAGCACAAAAGCTCAGGGCTAGCGCCTAGGCCCCGAATTCAAGTCATAAGCCCAACAAACATACACAAAAAAACTCACACTAAGCTGTGTGTGACATGCACCTAGAGACCCAGCTTACTGAGGAAGCTGGGCTTGGAACATGGCTTGATGCAGGAGCTCCAGACCAGCCTGGGCAACACTGCAGGACTGAGGCTCAAAAAACAAACTTAAATGGAATAAAGCCCCAGCTGTAGGGAATGGATATTCTGACTCACCTACCCAGTTCTAAAGAAATTCTGCTGCTGTTGAACACAGAATATCATTGAAAAACTTAATATTTTCATTGTCAGTCTGATCACATCTTAGGGGGCCTATTGAAAGTTATTTCACATCTAAAGCTTAGACAATAAATTCTCAGGTTTCTTTTTTTAATAAGATGGCTTTAAGTAGGATTCTCTTCTAGTCAAAAATTCCCCAACTACATGGCTGTGCTTTGGAGGGACCGCACTCCTGACCGCCCTCATGTAACTGAACACTGCAGACTGTCTGCCCTTCTACTCACTTAAGAGACTTGTAGTGAGACGAATCTTTTGGGCAGTCTCTTATGAAAACTATTACTGAGCTTTGCTCAGGTAAACTTCTGTTGTCCTTCAGGGTTCTAGACTCTTCTGGAGTTTGCCACACTTTACATATTCTGTCTTCATTAAACCAGATACATCCAAGCTCTGCATATTTTGATCTCGATTCTGACATTTTCTGCCCAGGAAAGATGCTACGATTTAAAACAACAAAATCCCTCTTGTCAACTGCTCTCTTGCATTTAATCTTAATACAAATATGAATGCTGTAGAATGGAACATATCTGATATTAGCTCTATAAACTTCCTACCAAAGTGGCCTTGCTCAAAATCAGTAAGGCATCTGTACTTCTTCAGATAAGGATTTCATTATGACCAAAGAGCTTGTTAGAAGGTTCAGTCACAGACCAGGAGTGTTGGCTCACTCCTGTAGTCCCACTTACTCAGGAGGCAGAGATGAATTTTAGTTCAAGGATACCCCAGGCAAAACTAGTGAGACCTCACCTCAACCAGTAAGTCAAGTGTAGGTGGTAGACACCTATGATCCCAGTTATCTAGAATATGGTCTGAGACTGGCATAGGCAAAAAACAAGAGACCCTACCAAAAACAGGAAGCAAAAAGGTTAAGGGTAAAGTACTTACCTACCAAGCATGTGGTTCTGATCTCAAAACACAGTAACACCAAAAAGAAAGAATGGAGGGGGAAGAAAAAAAAAAAAAAAACCAAGGCAGCTGTGTTTGTAATCTTTCATCCTTGATGGTTTCAAATCTCTGGAGTTACATACTGAGAAAAGGTGTTTAAAGTTGGTTTATTTTTAATTTTTTTGGCAGTATTAGGATTTGAACTCAGGGCCTTATGCTTGTTGGGACTGTTTGTTTCATTTGAACCACATCCCCCAAGCCCTTTCCTACTTAGGTTATTTTTTTTTTCTTTTTTTTTATTTGTGAAGATACTGTACAGAGGGGTTACAATTGCATGGGCAGGATAATGCGTACATTTCTTACCAAGCATTGCAGCCTCCTCCTTTGTTTACCCTTCACATCCCTTCCCAGCCTCCCCCCTCCCCTAGGTTATTTTTTTGATAGGGTTTTGTTAGTGTTTTTTGTTTTGCCGGAGGACAGCTTTGGATTGAGATCTGCTTCTACCCACAGTTCCCCAAGTAGCTGGGATTACAGGCCAGTGCCCCAGACCTGGCCTGGATGATTTGAGGTTTCTTTTTTTTTTTTTTTCCCCAGGATTTTTTATCTTTAAGTGGTTCCCATTCTACAAAACAGTGTATGAGTACAAGGTGTCTGACAACATTGTCACCCATTGCTCCTAACCAATCCCTTCTCACTTTTTTATAAAATTGAGATTAGGTGATTACATAAATTTCATGTAGTTCACAGTATTGTGGAATAGTGATACTTAAAAGTCACAAACACATTTTAACCTTCACAAGGCACATGGTCATTATCATGGTCTATATGGTTTGTGAATGTTACGAGCTTTGACAATACAAATTATCTTTTCCACATTAGGTGATGTTTACATTTCTTTCTTTTTGCTTAGTGTAAACTGTTCCCTCTTTTCCTCATTCCTCCCTTCCCATCGCTGTCTTTGGGTTGCTTAGTTCTTTTTCTTGTATGTCCAGTGCAGCTGATGGGCCGGGGTTTCTTTTCTAATGAAGTAGTAAACCATACATTTTTCTACATTAGTGAAGCATTCATAACTTTTTTTTTTTTTGAAGGGGAGCTCGAACTCAGTACATGGAAGCTGTCCCTGGGCTGTTTTGCTTAGGGCTAGTGCTCTTATCTACCCCTGGAGCCACAACTCTACTTCTGGCTTTTTAAGTGATTAACTAGAGATAAGTGTCTCAGACTTTCCTGCTGGACTGATTCCAAATTGTGATCATCAGATCTCAGCTTTCTAAGTAGCTAGGATTAGTTTTTTTCCTACAGAGTCGTCTGTCCCAGTGTTAGCTGATAGAATTTTTTGCAATTGTACAAGTATCTCATAGTCTTTACTGCTCAGCACAGGAGCCACAGGCCACATATTCCTAATGAGCACTTGAAATGCAGCTAGTAAAATTGAGGAGCAGAATAATTGAAAGCCAAATAGCTATAAATGGCAAGGGATACCATATCACAGCAATAACCTAATCCATTTTCTGGAGTTATATGCTACTTTTCACTCTTCTTGATTGAATTTGCTCACTTATTCCCATCCCTGACTAGAGGTTGTTTTTTTTTGCTTTGTGTTTTTATTCTACACGGTAAAATCTATCTGGTGACAACAGACATATTAAAATGTTTTATTTATATGCAATCTTGCTGGGCTAATGGCCTCATGACTGTAGTCACAGCCACCAGAGAGGCTGAGACTGTAAAACCATTAAGGTCAAGTCCAACCTGGAACTTTAAGATGCATCTCAGTAAAATAAAAACAAAAAACTCAAGCATTCTGAGTACAATAAGACGCTTACTGATTCTGTAGTTTAATGTGACAATCTGAAGACTGTTTACTCTTCTACCTCATCTGCGTCATTCCTAAATGTCACTCTAGTCATACCCTGTGCTCTAGGCTCTGTTAGTTGTTTTTTTCTAGCCTAATATCTGATGCATTCTGTGTTGAGCAGGGATGGTGAGAGAAGGCCAGCTAAATGGTTCATCTGCAGCACACAGTGAAATCAGAGGTATGCATTTCCTCTTCTACTTTTACCAGTCTGTCGGCAGTTCTCCTGAACTCCATTAAGATTATGGGGCATGACCTAATTACCTCTCCTCCCTACTAAGCCCATGTTCCTGTCAAGTCTTTTCCAAAACTCAGAAGGGTAGGACTATAGATTTTCAGCATTAAATGCATAAAGCTGTTTTGTGAAGCTCCATTTTCATTCTCTGCCTTTTCTCTCTTTCCACAGGCTGTAGTACATGAGCAGCTAGGCATCATCATTAAACCGTGCTGTAAGGCCCTCCTGTGGACAGTGTTTAACCTGCAAATGTGCAAGAACCCAACACAGCTCCCAGGAAGCACCAACACCCAGAGGCTGAAGTTTGGGGGTAGGATGGGGGGAGGGTTTCACCTGTAACATCATGCCGGCTGGTTCTCTGCTGCCTGGTTCAATTCAAGAACACATACGTGACATCAAGACCCAATGCAGTTCCCACTCACCCCCAGGCTGGACATGCGTGTGTGTATACCACAGACCAACGTGATGCCTCCAGGCTACACTGCAGCTCTGCAGGACGGACTTGGGGAGCTGGAAGTCATGGCGTCAAGCAGTCTCTTGTTGCAGTTTTGTACTCGGTTTTTCATTAAGCTTAATGGCTTTTTTAAAACATGACTTGAAGTTCTAGTTTTCTAGATCTTTTACAGTGTACAGTATTTTACATAACTGAGCTGTATTAAAAGCTTGTTCATTTACTTGCCAGGGCCCTGGCTCTACTTTGAGAGTCACTGTAGAAAAACAAAACAAAAACAAAACTCCTAACTTGTATCAAGGTATTAAGAAGCTTAATTTTTTTAATAACTCAAATTTGGTAAGTTGTGTGTTAAACCTTGAGGTGGGATGTTCTCATTCGCATGACAGTCAATGCCCTACTACTCTTTCAAAGCATTCTTCAGCTTCTGCTTTGGTCCTCTTTTTACTACAAATAAGCCCCAGAACTATATGGCTGGTGTGATTTAGATTTCAGCTGAGTCCTGTATAAAATAACTTCCAAGACCTTGGAGGCAGTTTACTTATGAAATTTATTTTCTCATATAAATTATGTATTTCTCTGGGCAGACAGCCTTCACCTTATTGCACTAATAGCACATCTGTAATACCAAGCTACAGGACAAGAGGTTTGTATTCTTCAACATAGCACTTGTCTACCAGGTAGCACTTGTCTACCAGGCACTGTAGGAGAGAGGGCTGAGGAAAAGCCAGGACCCACTCAGGAGGCTAAGGGTGGGGCAGGGAGGTGGACAATGGCTGCCCTTCTGACAGTTAGCTTTCTCCCAGGAAGGGGAACATGCAACGCTTACATCTGGGTCCTGGGAGAGGGAAGAGTGGGAAGGCTAAGCCCGATGCAATTGCAGCTTGGTTCCCGTTGTTTCCAAGGGAAGCAGGGACTCGCCTTTCACTTACATGTAACAAACTTGGGCCTAGCTGATGCTCTAGGAAACAATAGGGTAGGGGCATCGTTGGATTTTGAATTAGCAGCAATTAAGAACAGGCCACACTGGCACAGTGAGGTGGGCATCATCTTGGCACCAGTGACCTGAATGATGTGTACCCTAGGGAAAGGTGCCACTCAACACCCAGAGCTGGCTCTGGAAGAGTCTTTTAACCTAATGTAGCTGGGACTTCAAACTGCTCCTTAGTTCAGATGCTCTCTGGCCACTGTAATTAGCAAAGCTCTGGGTACTGGGTCTTCTGAACATTGGTCAAAGCTATAATGAGGCTGAGTCTGAAGGCAGAGTGAAGGGAGCGCCTGAGCAGGAGTAGGGTGAGTGGGCAGTAACTGTAACATGATTAGGCCCTCCGTGCAGGTGGAGGCTGGACTCAACAGGGAGTGGGAGGAGCTTTAAAGCCCTGCAGCTCCCATTACTCTGCCGTAGTACTACACTGAAGACAAGTTGCTCACATACTCTAAAGCACATTCTTGATACGGGAACAAGGACTTGGGGGAAGCGGCGATTTGGTATTAGGCAAGAGCCACATTAAGCCTTCATGAGGGCAGCCACCACAGCCTTGGCATTAAGACTGCGTAGGTCACAGTAGGTCTGGCCAGTGCCCACAAAGACGATGGGTTTGCTTGTGATGTAAGTCATAGAAATAGCAGCTCCCACCTGAAGTGGAGAAAGGGGATAACCAATCAGCTGAAGCCTCCTTGTAGAGCCCATCTCCCTAACAGCGAATTGTAGAGACCACCTATCCCCAAGGCCTCAAAGCCCATCCTTCAGTCTCGCTGTCCGGCACCATCCACATTTACCTTGTCATCAATGGTGTCAAATTTGGTAAGTACAATGCCATCAATGAGCCGAGGAGTTTGAGCCATGGAATGGTCAGCCAGTGCTCTGTTGAACTTGACCTAAGAGGAAAAAAAAAGATCATGTAAGTACAGGATTACTAATTTGCCAGAGTTTATGTTGTCAGAGGAACTAGGCCTGAGCCCTCACCAGCTGGTCCACGGCTTCGTTGCCAACTAAGGCCTCCCCCACAAACAGCACCAAGTCAGGTGTATTGACGGTAATGAGTTTTGCCAGGGCAGTCATCAGGGGGGCATTGTCTTGCATGCGACCAGCTGTGTCCACCAGCACCACGTCAAAGCCTTGGTTACGTGCTAAAGAGGAAAGAAAAAAGTCAATCCCAAAATACCCAACTGTCCCTCATGCTCACTGCCAGCCTCTGAAGAAATCTCCATCTGGCTAAGTGAAAAGCCCGTCTGTTTACTACTTAGTCTCTGGATTCAGTTACAAGGTAATATGAGGAAAAACCTGCCCTATTCTTGGCCACCACCAAAAACATTTAGGGAAAGCACAGAAGTAGGATAAAGGTGACTCAATTCCTATCTCTGGTTAGGATATATTTGCTTGTAACTATACAAACCACATGGAAGCAGAACATGACAAGTAACTAATTCTGACTTTAGTAGTCCAAGTCTGATCCTCTGCAAATTCCAAGGAGGCGAAAGGCCCACAAGCCTCCACACTGCCCAGGGACTGTACCAAAGGCAATGGCTTCCATGGCGATGCCAGCAGCGTCCTTGCCATAGCCCTTTTCAAACAACTGCACCATGGTGCGGCCACCATGCTTCTCTGGGGGGTGCAGGGCAGTCAGACGCCGGGTGTGGGTACGTAGCTGCTCCACAGCCCCAGCACGAAATGTATCACAGGCAGCAATGAGGACACTGAAGCCATTCTCTAACAGCCAGAAGGAAATCTGAAAGAGTTAAGAAAAAACGATGACCTGGAACCAGGGCTTGTGAGACATGGGGAGTGAAGGCATATCAGTGACAGGTCGGAAATGGCACTGACCTTGGCAAGATTAGTAGACTTCCCTACTCCATTCACACCACAGAAGGTGACAACATAAGGGCGCCGGCGACGCTGGGCATCCATGATATCCCGGAGCATGTCTACACGACGCTGTGGCTGCAAGATCTGCACCAGGGACTCCTGTAGAGCTTGCTTGACTGTGGAAGTCACCGCTGCAAAGGGAGGTGAAATGAACACAGCCATGAAGCCTAGGAATGTGCTCAAAATCCTCCACACCTTTCAGACTAAGGGAACTACAACTAAGAATCCAAACCCTACTGTTCTAAGCACTTTATTTTGTTATTACAAAGCTGATGTACAAAGGGTTTACAGTTATATAAGTCAGGTAAAGAATACATTTCTTTGTCACCCCTTCCCTGCCCCCCTCCCCTCCAGATTTTCCCTCCTGTCTCCACCCACAAGTTGTATAGTTCATTTTCAACACAGTATCTAGTGAGTACTACTGCTGTATTTATCCTTTGTCCCTCCATTTCTGTGCCCCCCCACCCAGTCCTCCAAAAGATAAATGACAAAAACAATGAAAACAGCAACTAGGAAAAAAACCTTGTTTCCATTTCCTGGAGTTCCATTTTGATAAATCTATTTTTTATAATCAAAGGCATATTATAGGTATTGAGCCTTTGTGTTCCTCTCCTAAGAATATCCTCCTTTGGTCTCACTGTGTGAACGCCCAGAGTTCTATATAATTTACCATGTTCCAAGTGTATATTAAACCTAGTTTTTGCATATGAGAGAAAACATGAGCCGTTTGTCTCACTGGCCTTGGCTTACCTCACTTAACATGATTTATTCTAGCTCCACTTCTAAGTACTTTTTAAAATATTAATTCATCTGCCTAATAACCCCTAAAATCTTGGTTATATAATAGAGGTGTAGAAATAAAGGGATCAGCCAAGTCATGTAACCAAAAAGAATAATGGTCTCTATGAATGACCTCTTTACACCTAAGCACATTTTGGCTGATGGAGATACTTACTGCTGAATGTCCCCATCACCTTCCCTTCCAGCTTGTTGGCAACAGAATCACAGAGCTGGACAGCAATATCTGCAGCCACATTCTTAGCTGACAAGCAAGGAACAAGTATGAATTCTAAGTCAAAGCAACTGATTCTTACCATACAGCTAAGAAACAAGGTCCTGCTTCCCATACAATATGAGAGCCCAGTCATCAGAACTTACCAATGAGATGATCACGCATCTTGTCCAGCACAGATTCCATGTCTTCACGACTCAAGCTCTTAGAACCCACAAGGCCCTTCAGCATCCCAAACATGCCACCCAGAGTCCCCTTGGTAGAACTGCAGGCACAGAAGACCACAAATACACATAAAGTCAGCAGACAGGAGTTAGGAATTCTGGAGCCACAGACGCCACTTCTGGAAAGCCCTATACCTAGGTTTGGTGGAGTTTGGGGCGGCTCCTTCATCATCCGAACTGCTGCAATCCAAGTCCTGAAGCTGCCCGCCAGGCCCAGTCCCTCGAATCTGTAGGACAAGTGGGAGAGATGGCTATAGGAACATTACTGGCTCTGAGTAAAAGGCCTTGAAGAAATCTAGGTTATTATACTTCTAGTCTGCTTTTCCCAATTTCCAATTACCAGTGACCTTCCCTTTGCCCTTGTTGCCTCTTACCAAGTTGATATCCTCAGACAAGGCAGCCTCTGGGGTTCCATTGGTGGTAGGAGTGCTATAATCCAAGACTTCCTTGTTAGCACTACCACAAAGTTCCCACACTCGGGGTGCTTTTTTGCCCTTTTCCTTTGGAGCATCTGACTTCGTGGACTTGCTAAAATGCACCACAGGACAAAGAGTTATAATGGAGAAATCAAAGTAAGTCAGAAACAGCTCCCTGGGCCCCAAAACTAGTGAAAGCTAGAATGCTCACCTGGATTTGTCAAGACCCCTCCCATGCTTCTGAATGAACTCTTCCCTCTTCCTGCGGATCAGCTCCTCTTTGGAAAGTTCTCCGTTCTCAGGCCCCACTGGGAGACCTGACTTTTCTGCAGGAGCTGCTTTGCTGGTAGCCAAAGGACCATCAGAACCTGTTAGGAGAAATCTCACTGAAGGAAAAAAAGACCAAATCCCAACCAACTAGACAATGGCTACACTTCTCCAATTTCAGAAGAAAACATGGGTCAAACATCTTGGGGATCACAAGTCCTGGGGATGATAAAGTGGTGAGCAGCAGGGTCAAAGAGAAGGAAGTCCTTAATGCTATGTTAACACCTTTTATGCCCCAGCACGTCCAAGTAGTTCTAACACACCTTCCTTTTTGGACCCCTTTTTTTTGCTGTTCTTTGCTTTTTCTTTGGGCTTTTCCCCCCGTGTTTCAATCATAGATCTCACAGGTTTCTTGGCCTTTTCAGAGTCTTCAAATTTCTTCATGGTAGTAGGAACACGGATCTTACTGCTCTCCTCCGCTTCACTAAAGACAAAAAATAGTTTGCTACCATGCAAGAAGAAAGGTCCCATATACCAAAAGGACAATCAGAACTGGGCAGCAAATAAGAAGTGGCTTTACTATTTTTCACTTTTTTTTTTTTTTTGGCAAGTGCTGGGTTTTGAACTCAGGGCCTGAGTGTCTATCACTCTACCACTTGAGCCATAACTCCACTTCCAGCTTTTTGGTGGTTAATTGAAGATAAAGAGTATCATGGACTTTACTGCCCTGGCTGGCTGTGATCCTCAGATCTCAGCCTCCTGAGTAGCTGGGGTTACAACAGGCATGAGCCACCAACAACTGGCTCACTTTACTACTCTTGAACCACTTTCAGGAAGGGAGCTCTCAGGAAGAGAGTTCATCAAATCATGGAAATCAATTTTGTAGAGGGAAGGTCTCTCACCGAAGGAGTCGCAGGAAGTCATTTTGAAAATCAAAAGTGCCATTCAATAGACTTAAGGCACTTTGTTGTTGAATCTCTGTGCGGTACTTGTCCCGAAACAGCCTGTGCACATCATCTATCAACTTGTCTACATATGTCAGTGTTAGGATCTTCTGAAAACCAACCTGTTTAGAGAAGGAAACAGAGCCAACAGATCTGCTTACATGTCAGCCTACAATGGAGGAAAGCCAACTCAACTTAGTCCTCCAGAGATAGGCTCAGCCACCTGGCAGGTTTCCCTGTCTCAAGAGGCAGCCAAGCTCTCTGCCTGGCTCAGAAGTTCTTCCTTTGCCCACACCACCTTCCTAGCATTCTCAGCCACTTCACATATGTAGTGCAATTACCAGCATTTTTAATCATTCGTTCTAGATCACTGTCCCTCTAACCCCTACTTACCACAAACACCAGCTCAAACTGATTGTCCAATTTATACTTGAGTGTGAGGGCCTCATGAGTAAAGGAGTTATTACCTCCTCGTTCCTGAAAAAAAAAAAAATGTCTCAGTGTTCAGGTCATTCCCAAATGTCCCAGACATGAGCCATTCAAGGATAATTACCTTTGGGAAAGTACTGAACACTCCCTACAAGAAGATGCTAGGGGCATTTCTCTCTAGCCTTCCACCAGCGAGAAAGAATGACTACACAAATGAAGGAAAGGGGAAAAGTTGAAAGTCAAGACACCGTGGGAACTGGAAGGGCAACAAATCAGTTACATACATATCGGATCTACTAGCATTTGGATACTATTTAGTTTCTTCAAGGGGTCTTTCCAATCATCTCGGCCTCGAAACAACAACCCAAAAAGATCAAGCTGGGGCTGGGGAGAGGAGGAAAAGTCCCCACAGACGCCGAAATCCGACTGGACTCCCAAGATGCCAAGTGGGGGTGAGGGAGGAGGCGACGCAAAGTTGCGGGACTGTCTGATGAGGGAGGAAGAAGGTCGATTATCAGTGAAAGGGGGAGCAGGGTGATTAGTCGAAGGAGGACCAAGGACCGGGTAAAGCTCGGAGTTCTGATCCCGCGGGGGTGGTACCTGCAGCAGCACGGAACGAATCAACGCGTTAACGGGCCCGGTGCATGAGTCGCTCACGCCCTGGAAGCACCAGAGCACGAGTCCGCCCTTGGAGAAGATGGTGAAGAAGTCGAGCATGGCGGCAGCGGGAGAGGAGTTGGGGCTGGCGCCGCCGGGGACTGGAGCCGCGATCGCCGCCGCTTCCTGCTGCGCCAAGCTCGAGACACGTCACACCGGCGGCCCCGGAAACCGGCGCAGCCGCACTTCCGCTCCCAGCCGCCGGGTTCCCTCACCGCCCCCTGTGCACCGGGGACGCGCAAGAATGACGTGCACGACCAGCAGACCAATCACGGATGGGGGCGTTTCTGGGCGGAGACGTCCTGGGGAGTTAACTACCAATAGTATGGAGAGGGGGGGGAATCTGGAGGTGACAGTTGACCAATGGGTGGGCTCGTCCGAATGCCCCCGTGGCGCGGAAAGGTGATAACGAAGGTGGTAGCAGAGTGTGGGGCTCTACGAGGCTCGGGGTCCGAAAAGCTGATGTTTCGGAGGGCTCTGCAGCGGGGCCTGCGCCCAGGCCTCTCATTCCGGCGGCTAGGCACACGCAGAGGAGGCTCAACTCTGGGTAAAGCTGAGGGCAGTTTTGGGTAGGGTTCTGGGTCGTCCACAGCCTCCAGTTGTTTGGCTTGTAGGGCTTAGAATGGGTTGGCTGCGGGGAGGGAGAAAGCGTCCCTTCGAGACTTTGTTGAACCTGGGCCAGTGTATGGATCCCAAGGAGACCCCTGCTTACTCTGGGTGTGAGTTGACCTTGTGAGACAGGAATGACTCTGGGAACTGCCCATCCAACCAACTCCCTACCATGTGGGAAGGAAATACATGTCCTAATGATAACTGCGCCCCCACAGACTGGGATGGAAAAGTAGCTGAGATAAGGAAGAAGATCCAGTCAGCCCTGCCTGGTGACACCTGGGATCCACTGTATGACACCAGCCATCTGCCTCCAGAACACGCGGATGTGGTGGTTGTTGGAGGTGGGGTGATTGGCCTGTCTGTGGCCTATTGGCTGAAGAAGCTAGAGAAGAAACGAGATGCCATCCGGGTGCTAGTGGTGGAACGCGATAGCACGGTGAGATCTGGGAGCGAGCAAAGTCATGATTGGTGCAATAAAGATATCTCGTTTTGTTAAGGACTCTAGGAGCAATGGAAGTGGAGGAAAGGGAAGACCTTAGTCTTCCATTCTTTTTGAAGTTTTTGTTTTGTTTTTTGTCGGTCGTGGGGCTTGAACTCTGAGCCTGGGTGCTGTCCCTCAGCACTTCAGCTCAAGGCTAGACCTGTACTACTTGAGGCACAGTGCCACTTCCAGCTTTTTCTGTTTATGTGGTGCTGAGGAATCGAACCCAGGACTTCTTTTCATGCAAGGCAAGCACTCTACCACTGAGCCACCTTCCCAGCTTTTGAAATTTTTGTACTTTGGTTTTTTCTATTTGCTTTTTATCAGCTAGCTGCTGGCCTTTGGTACTTTGGTCTTGTCTTTTCATTTTCAAATCTGCCCTTGGATTTATTATCATTTTGTTCCAAGGTGGCCAGCCCTTTGTAAATGACTGACACTTTTTGCCCTACTCATTTGTCAATAATAACACATTTTATTCTAGTGCTTCTGGTTGACTTGAATACAGGTTTGTTCACCCCTGTTCCTTAGATTATAAACTTGCAAACCTGACTTCAGCTAAATTTTTCATAAGTCCATTACATATGGCAGCAAGCATACTTGCCTACCTCAATTTTTCTTGTGTTTCTACAGTATTCAAAGGCTTCCACGGTGCTTTCTGTGGGCGGAATTCGTCAGCAGTTCTCCTTGCCTGAGAACATCCAGCTCTCCCTGTTTTCAGCCAACTTTCTACGGAACATCAATGTATGTCCAGTGAGATTTGGGAGGGCTGGGGGTTGTGACCCCTTTCTTAGCTTAGAAAGAGGAGTAGTTTATTACACAAAGGGATGAAAGAAGTAGGAATGGCTCCAGTAGCTAGAATTAGAACCCTCACTTTTCTCCCTAGAGTTGGTTCCTAGAAGGGCTCCTGTCTGGTCTGTAGCACTGAATTCTGGGAGCCATAGTGAGGAGTCCAGGAAAGCTCTCCAGTTCTCTAAGTTAGCCTTTTTAGAGTACAGCTTTTATTTGTAAACAGGAGTACCTGGGTGTCGTGGATGCCCCTCCTGTGGACCTCCAGTTCAACCCCTCAGGTTACCTTTTGCTGGCTTCAGACAAGGATGCTGCAGTTCTGGAGAACAACGTGAAAGTGCAGAGGTGGGTATCCACCATAAGCTGGTTTCACCTTTTCAGATTCACATTTCCAAATTAGGAACAGGGAAGCCGGGGTTGATGTCACAGATACCTCTTGTCTAGGAGCTTAGTCTATTAGGAAAGAGTCCTAAGTCAGGAGTTAGCACACAACTCAATCATTGGGACATGTCTATTTCACATGGAGGTGGTAGTAGAGAAATGAGGCACAAGGATCTAGTCAGTGGGAATCTGTACCAGCCAGTCCTTCTGGCTCATGAAAGTGGTAGGATTAAGGCCTGGTGTCAGTGGCTCACACCTGTAATCCTAAACTACTCAGGAGGCTGAGATATGAGGATCATAGTTCAAAGCCAGCCCAGGCAGGTAAGTCCGTGAAATTCTCATCTCCAATAAACCACCAGAAACACAGGAAGTGGCGCTGTGGCTCAAGTGGTAGAGCACTAGCCTTGAGCTGAAGAGTTCAGAGACAGCAGCCCAGGCCCAGAGTTCAAGTCCCATGACCAACCAAAAAATAAAGTGGTAGGGTTTTGTTTTATGCCAGTACTGGGGCTTGAACTCAGGGCCTCATGTTCTCACTTGGCTTTTTTTCACTCAACCTTAGTGCTCTACTACTTGAGCTATGTCTTCACTTCCAGTTTTTTGCTGGTTAATTGGAGTAGTTAGGATTATAGGTGTGAGCCACCAGCATCTGTTTTGTTTTTACAGGGCCCCCCTTTGAGTGGCACTGTCCTAGAGGAGACAGTCATTCTGGAGAACAAGATTGTAATGAGCAGTGGAGTAAGGGGTAGCACGTTTCCTATCTGTCTGTGGAAGGAGATAGGGTGAAAGCTGAAAGTACTGAAGGAGACCAGGTTGTAGGTTGGGGAAGAGGGTTCAGATGCGAAAGAACCTTCACTGGAAGGTTCAGTCTTTGCACATTCACCAATGAAGAAAAAACAGGAGGTTTAAGACAAAACGTGCTATCAGTACCTGCACTTCCCCCTGAAACTAGCATTCATGCTTCTCTCCTCTGTACACAACCTCTCTTAATACTGTATGCACATATTTCTCTCAGGCAAGAAGGGGCCAAAGTTTGTCTGATGTCTCCCGAACATCTTCGGACCAAGTTTCCCTGGATAAACACAGAGGGAGTGGCTCTGGCTTCTTATGGTAAGGTGCATCTGCAGAAAGAAGGGACAGCCTTCTCCTAAAGATAGTGATGTCTCAGCATGCCATGGCCACAATAAAGGAGGACCACTTTCCTCCTGGGTACCAGGGCTGGCCTCTGTCCATACTACTTCTCATTCCTTCACTAGGATTGGATTCTAATGACCTTCCCTGGCTTCCAAGCCCTAGAAAAATGTTAATGGAGGGTCAGGGAATATACTAAGAAGAATGGGATCTTAGTCTTTCTTTGTGAATTAATTCTGTTTTCTTCATCTCAGGGATGGAGGGTGAAGGTTGGTTTGACCCCTGGTCGCTGCTCCAAGCATTTCGGCTAAAGCTCCAATCAATGGGAGTCCTTTTCTCCCAGGGAGAGGTGACACGTGAGTCCAAGGCACCTTACCTTCTGTTTCTAGCAACCAGTGCGAGGCTTAGACCGGGTACCATCCTCTCACTCAGAGCCTAAGAAGGATTGGCAAGAGAGAGGGCCAGCCTAACTACTCCACACTAGTCTGCTTTGTGACTTGTTCAGTTGTTCAGCATTACCCTGTCCTTTCTATATAGCCAAGTTCCTCCTGGTTCCCTAACCTCTGTTCACTTCAGTGCCGGTGGGGAAATACCCCTTAGCCTTCTTTCCTAGACCTGTGGGATCCCCACTTCCTTCTGCAAGGCCTCGAAGGCTTTATTTTTTGTGGGGAGAATGGGGCAGGATGTTGAGTGAGATTGAACCTGGGGCTGTGTGCATGCCAAATACATGATGTACCTCTGAGCTCTCTCTCTCAGCCCCTAAGGGCTTTTTTTTTTCCTTTCTTTTTTTCCCTGCAGGTTTTGTCACTTCCTCTACCTCCATGGAGACCTCAAGTGGAGAACAGGTCAACTTGAAAAGGATCTATGAAGTCCATGTAAGTCCCTCGTCTCATTGTGCTCCTCCTCTCCACAATAGAGGGACAAGAAAGGTAGTTTGTCCTGATGTCGGTCCTCTATCCATTTTCCATATGGGCAAAGTAAGACCCAGATACTGAGTATCTCTCCTAGTGCCTGGCATGTGGTCCAGGCCCTCCCTCCCTTCACCCTCGGGTGTCTGCAGGTGAAGATGGACAACAGCCTGGAGTACCAGCCAGTGGAATGTGCCATCGTGATCAACGCTGCTGGGGCCTGGTCTGGGCAGGTTGCTGAGTTGGCTGGTATTGGGATGGGGCCACCTGGCACCCTGCAGGGCATCAAGCTACCTGTGGAGCCAAGGAAAAGGTAGCTTCCCTCCGGGCAGCTGAGGAAGTTGGTGAGAGAGGAAAGCATATAGAAATTCGAGAAGGTGGAGAGTCATGGAAGGGGTCAGGCTGACCATGCTGTTCTTGTAATGTCCTCACTCCCTTGGTCATGGCAGGTATGTGTACGTATGGCACTGCCCGCAGGGACCAGGTCTAGAGACTCCCCTGGTTGCAGATGTCAGTAGAGTCTATTTCCGGCGGGAAGGATTAGGCTGCAACTACCTAGGTGGCCGGAGCCCCACTGAGGTAAGCCAGTTTGGGGGAGGGAGGGTTGCTGGGAAGGGGACAGACTGGCCACCCTGAAAGAGGCAGGCCTTTGCGGGGGTAGGGGGTTCTGTGTGGTGTTGGTGCTGTAGCTCCCCAGATTAGAATTTGTTGCCACCACCCTCCCTGCCATACACATGCAGTTATCTTTCTTTCCTCCCTGCCATACTGCAGTCCCTTCTCCCTCTTCTTCCCTCTCCCTAGTTCTCTCTCCCTCCCCTTTAGATTGGTTAAAGGGATTAGGGAGGGCTGGGGTTTTGCCCTTAAATCCCAGACAATAGAAGTTTTGCCCTCACCTCTGTCACCCAGGAGGAAGAACCAGATCCCACGAACCTGGAAGTGGACCATGATTTCTTTCAGGACAAGGTGTGGCCCCATTTGGCCACGAGGGTGCCAGCATTTAACAATTTGAAGGTAACTGACAGGCGATGGCTGTGCATCTTGGTGCCCGTTCCTGTGCACCGGCATGTCCTGCCACTTTGTAACCACTGAGGAACCCGTGGGACCCATTCCATCCCATGAACCCCTCAGAAGCTGACCCCTGGTGAAGAGTGAGGGCTGAGCATGTTGGCAGCACTCTGAGAACCCTGCCTCTTGTTCACCCACAGGTTCAGAGTGCCTGGGCTGGCTTTTATGACTACAACACATTTGACCAGAATGGCGTGGTGGGCCCCCATCCACTCGTTGTCAACATGTACTTTGCTACGGGCTTCAGTGGTCATGGGCTTCAGCACGCCCCAGCTGTGGGACGAGCTGTGGCGGAGATGGTGCTAGAAGGCCACTTCCAGACCATCGACATGAGCCCTTTCCTCTTCAGCCGCTTTTACTTGGAAGAGAAATTCCAGGAGAGGAATATTTTCTGAGTATAGAAGCTCTTCCTCAGGCTCCAGCCTAATCATCACCCGTCCTCATCTGGGCATCGTGCCAGACCTCCTTTAACACCTTCCATCCAGGGCTGGGAAGGTGGCTCAGTGGTAGAGCACTTGCCTTGCATGCATGAGGCCCTGGGTTCGATTCCTCAGCACCACATAAGCAAAAAGAAAAAAGCCGGAAGTGGTGCTGTGGCTCAAGTGGTAGAGCGCTAGCCTTGAGCTGAAGAGCTGAGGGACAGCACCCAGGCCCAGAGTTCAGGCCCCATGACCAGACCCAAAAATAAATAAATAAAATAACACCTTCCATCCAGCCCATCTGCCCCCATGTGGCAGGGCATGAGGCCTAGGCCTGGGCCAAGAGAAAGTGGCCCAGGTGATAATGTACACTAAGACAATCTCTGGTGTCCTGGACACCATGGCCTATGGCTTCTTACCTGGTGCTGGCACAGAAGGATGGCCTCTGACCTGGGCAGGATCCAGGCAACTGGAGCTATCTGAAACAGCCTCACCTGGATAGATTGACTTATCTGCTACCTGAGTCATCAATAAATGTGATTAGCTCACTCCCTCCAATCTTCTGTTCCTTCTGTCTTCTCACAGCAAAAGTTTTTGAAGCATCCCACTAGCTTTGGCCCTAGGAATAGGTAAATAGCCCCATCCTCCTCCCCAGATCTTTCTTCAATCCCAGGGAGTAGGCAGCTGGTTTGCAAGCGAGGGCCCCCTGCTCCTAAGTTGCTGCAGGGGTGGTGGTTATAGAGCAAAGGATGAACCAAGTCACCTATGTAATATTTATTCCAGCCCAGTAAGATGAGAGACACCAGCAAGCAGAGACAAGCACAGTACAGATTCACTAGAACTTTTCCTATCTAAGAACCCTGCATGCCATCAGGGATAATCCAAGTGGGGCTAGGATTAATTGATGTGGCCTCAGCAGACAACGCAGGCTGTAGATAGTGATGACATCATGAAACATGATGACATTTTTAAGGAAGGGTAGAATGGGGGGGGGGTGACCAGGGAAGCTCCAGCACCCCACTGACATTGAAGAAACACAGGAAGAGAATGCTGAAGAGATCCCGGAGAAGCAGGAGAAAGTCCAGGGGAGTGTGATATGGAAACGAAAGCAGCTGGCCGTATAAAATGACAGTGCAGCTGAGTTGAGCACCAAGTAGGTCAGCAGTGACCTCTCAGAGGGCAGTTTCAGCAGCATGGGGAGGAATAGACAGTAAGCAGAAGAAAGGTGGCCCTGGGAGAACAAGCCAGGAAACTGTCCCCTCAAAATGAGAGTGGAGTGCGCAGGATGGATGGGGGCCTCACACACGGGAGGGAGGGGAGAGGAGGCTGGCGGGAGCCAGGCCCAGTGAAATAAGCAAAAGAGGAAGCACCACAGAAGGCAATCCTGCAAAGACAGGAAGGAACTTGCTAGGGGCATGGCGGAAGGACATCTGTAAGGTAGCTCCTCAGATGCTCAGCACTTTCAGTGTCTTCAGCACAGACACTTTAACCTAAGGGTCCAAAGGGAAAGGCTTCATCTGGCTGCTTGCCCCGTGCTATGCCCTTTAATAAATGCTATATGTTAGCCAGGCATGATGGGACACACCTGTAATCCCTACACTTGCGAGGTAGAGGTTGGAGGATTGGGGCTGGTTTACATAGATCCTGTCCAAGAAAACCCCACTAACATCAATAACACATTAAGGAGTTCTGTTGCAACAAGGCCTTGTTCAAACTCAGCCTACTGGGATATGCTGTTGAATCTGTTTTCCTTTATACAATGTGGAGAGCCAACCCTTCATCTTTGTTCCAACACTCAGCCCTCCTAAACTTTGTCAGTCTTGTCACTTGTCAATATCTAAATGCTCCCCTGGGAACTTGCTGCTGGACCCTGAAGATCCATCCCTGGTCTCAAGGCCTTCCCAGTCCAAGATGAGAGCTAAAGCCACATTCCTGGAGATTTAAAGAGAGGATGTGGGAAGGGCAGATTCCCTGCGGCTTGCAGAAGTCAGCCCACATGGTCCACCCCACTACCTGTGGCTCAGCTTGGAGAAGGCGTGATACTCTCGCTCTACTCTAACCACTAATGTTCATACATTGCACACCTAATAAACCACTTAGGACAGTCATGTCTGCGTACCGGTATTATTTGTTAAAACTAGTCAGCAGGTTATTTCATGACTGCTTTGTCAAATTATGGAAGTTAAGTGCAATGTTTGAAAACTAAAATGATGGTGTGTCTTGTTTCTACTAAGCTCAACTTTTTCTCTCTTTGTTTTATTAGGGAATCCATGTCAGTGTTTTAAAATGCTGTGTGGTTTAAGTGTGAAGTAATTTCTTGAAAAGAGGAAATAAAAAGGGGAAAGGGAAAACTTTTCCTGCCAGGCTGTGTGGCTCATGCCTTTACAGCTACTCAGGAGGCTGAGATCTGAGGTTCAAGGCCAGCCTCACCAGGAAAGTCTGTGAGACTCTTATCTCCAATTAACCATCAAAAGGATGGAAGTGGGTCTGTGGCTCAAGTGGTGGAGTGCTATTTTTTTGAGCAAAAGCAGCTCAGAAACAGCAAGCGCTCAGGCCTTGAGTTCAAGTCCTGGGACTGACGCACACACTTGCACACAGAAAAGTGAAACAGGCTCTGTTAAATGGGGTATCAGCAGAAAGTACAGTTAGTGGAGAAAGTGACGAAAGACACATGGTGAAAGTGGTCATGTGTCTGTATGGATATAGGACAGTGTCCCTAGACGCGCCGGTGAGGGCCTGGATCCTCAGATCTCAGCCTCCTGAGTAGCTAAGGTGACAGGTGTGAGCCACAGGCGCCCAGCTTCACAGAACCTGTGTAGCCTGGGCTTGCCAACGCCTTGCCTTCTTTCCCTCTGGGCGCCACAGCCCTGTGGAACGTTCCTGGGGAACAGCTGGTTCCCACTTGGGACTCTGGGCCTAGAACACAAAGCGCTTTGGCCTGGGGGACCCCCAGCCTGCAGGGGCCCCCCTCCCCGCCCCAGCCTGGCCGTGCGCCCGGGGCCAGCCACCCAGGCCATCCATCCTGCCTTCTTCGCAGCGGCGGGGCCCGCGGAAGCCAGGCTGTGGGCT